CCCCAAAACCCCAAAACCCCAAAACCCCATTTTAAACCTATTTATTAAAGTACGTACATTCGGTAAATAGAAATGGTGGTGCAGCTTGAGGGCCTGAGAGCTCAAGGGCTTTTGGAAAATGGAATTTTGAGTTGTTTTAAGTGAATTTAGGGGGTAATTGATGGAGAGAAATAAGAAGGAGATTAATTGGGCTGAGCTGATGGGGCTGGCTGCGTTGAAGGTTAATAAGACTGATAGACGTAACCAACAAAAGATTCGAATTGAAGAGTCTAAAGTTTGTAAAGAAAAGAAGGAGAAATTAAATGTGGTAAACAACCAAAAAACCTTTTATCTATAATGCTCTTGTATATATATTTAACAACTTCAGGAACTCTAATGGGGAAGTTTTGCCTCCGCTAAAGCAGGTATTTAAGCTTTCTACAAAATCTCCTGATAATCTTTTGCTATCAATCCGTTTAGCGTCTCAGTCAGTCCTTGCCTAAATAAGTACATGAAATATCCGGATGCCAAGCTTAAATAGGTTAGCCGTTCCTGAAAAGCCAAGGGCTCCAGATGAGATCAACAGCATCAGGGATGCTGAAAAATATTATAGAACAGAAAGGAAACCTAGAGTTGGAAACTTATACAACAGTCATCCCCAGGCTTTGGACAACGCTAATGAGGTTTGTTTTTAAGGAAATTTGTATTAGTTTCTTTGCATAATTCGGCCTTAAGACATCTATAATGAATCAGAAAGCAACAAGATGATGCCTAAGGGAGATCTGTGGTGCCTCTTTGATAGAGGTTGCATACAATTCCGTGCTTGGCTCATACCTCGAGCTATCCTTAGATTTCAATAGATGCTATTTCCTTCTTATTTACTCTTAATACCTCTAAAACTGATTTTTAGAATAAATTTAAAAACGATAAACTCAGTCATTCATATGGTAAAAATGTTGTTCCTAAAGGTGCGTTTATGGTTCCGAAAGACCATGATTTAATAAAAGGTAAGAAATGACTACATCGAACTAGGACAGCAGGTTCTAGCTATTTATTTTGCCTCTTATTCATCATTTCTCTTTATGGGCTATCACTCTTTGCGAAGTAACCTGATGCAGTATTTTGAGCTAAGAAATTTAGATCCTCAGAAGAATCCAAAGAACAGAAGATATTCTGAATATCATTTAGAGGATATCCAAAGAGTAAGGTTTTCCTTAAATTTGCACCAAAAGTTTCCCAGGAGTTACCACCTGGCATTTAGACTCCTCGAGAGAATCAAGGGTACAAAAGAAAGAGCAATGAGAGATACAACAGATACAGGGAAGGTAAGATTTTTGTAATTGGCAGTAGATTATTACGCAAAGTATATTCATCCATATCCATTTTGGTTACCACACCCTACCATCACCCGCACGCAAGCAGGTACGTTCTCCTCCTTCACTCCTAGCAAAAATGCAAGAACTAAAAACTCTCCGCAAAGAGCTCGCCCGGCTCAAAGCCAAGAACATGCGGCACCATCTCGGCGAAGACTAATAACCCAGCCACTGCTATCCCCTGCTATATAATCAACCTGAAACTTAACGTTTTAAGCTAATCTTTACCCTCAACTTTAAACTTCTAATGAATCAGAAGGAATTTATGAACAAGTGGGCCTTATATAAGCTTCAGGCTAATACTTCTAAGTATTTCCAATACACCTTACCTATAACGGGGTTTTGGGGTTTTGGGGTTTTGGGG